TACGAGAGTGGTTAAAAACTAATGTCAACCGAGAATTTCCAATTAGAAGTCTTATACATTTGGTAGCTACATATAAAGTAAGATAGATGGCAAATTTGAGAGTAGCTCAATTTGTTGGAGGATATTTTTTACTTGACACGTGGCAAGTCATGATTTGAAGAGAACTACACGTGGCCTTGAGTCTATAAGGTCAAGATTCATTACCTTGACTTTAATACTGATTGTCKGGTCAATGCTATTGGTGGCTGAGCTAACCAGGTTTCCTTTTGGCGTTGTTCCCATTTTGCGGTTGAACCGACCTAAAGTTGCTCTACTTAGCCTTACAATCTGTCACATTCCATGACAACACGCTGCGATTCACAGTCACCTTAAAGAACCATCAGTGTGAGTTCCTGTCAGAGAACTCGTCTATGAATAGAGACCACCCACTTCTATTCCAGGTATGCGAACATTGTATTCTCTCTCGAATAGCTCGGCAACTTCTTGACTTAGGCGTCATAATGTCTTTTGTTTTACAGGTCCCCTGCTGATCAGCTAGTTTCAAACTCGTTCTCCAGGTCATCTTCTGGTTTGAACCAAGGTTCACAGACTTGGTCATTTTTGTGATCAAACCAATTATTAATTCCCTTTGATTGTAATGTAAAAATAAAATATATTATTTTAATCTCTTTATTTCAATAATTCCAGATTTTTTTAGTGATTTATGAATTACTAAAATTTTGATCCTAGCTTTTTTAGGGGAAGGTCAAATATTAAAACGAATTTCAAAAAATAATCAGATGCAAATTACAAATTAATAAAAGAAAACACTTTATAAAAATAAAGATGTTACGTGATAAAACTTCCACCCCACGTGGTCCTCCCTTGTCCAAGCCTTAGCTTGGATACCCCAAAGACGACCCAGAAGGGATCGTGGCAAAGTACGTAGAGCTCTGCTAGCTATAACTTGAGATTCTACTATTAGAGACTCTTTTAATATTTGCAGTGAAAAGCTCGTTAAATCATAAGTACGGAAGTTGCAGTGTTAGAACCTCGATTTTTAAAACTCCCGTAGTATAAAAGGCAAAGAGTTTCACCTTCTAAAAGGTACACAATCTCTTGCATTCAAATCTAGCTCGACTCGACATCAACTCGAACTTATCACTAACTTAAGTTTTGATTTGACCGAGTTCTATATCAATCTATTTGCAATGTCAACGGAGACCTAGTCAGAGCTAGACAGGATACCCACCAACGTGTCACTTCAACCAGAAACGCTCCTTAACAAAAGATATTCTTAGAAAAAAAATCAATGAGAAAGGAGTTTGGATTTCCCCTTTTTGAAATAAGTGGAATATTTAATATCCACGTGACCATAAAATAAAAATGTTCAATTATGAAGATTAGAGAATAATAAGATCACATTATATCTAAACTTACAAAAATTCGAATTCTTTTGCCCCCAAAAATAAATAAATAAATCAAATTCTAATCATAATTTTTGGTCTCATTTTTCATGTCCTTTTTCGCTTTATTTTTTCTTTTTACAAAATTTGTCCGATTCGTTCTGCCTAATACCCCTTTTATCCTTAATAAATCTTATTCTTATTCTAGATTTGCTTTAGATTCTTTCAAAATTGCTCTCTCATATTCCAACCACTTGTGTTAATTAAAATTCAATAATAAGTTAATAACATAGTTCATTAATGATAAGATATTTATTGTAATCTTAAAATATTGATGTATTTCTCGAAAGGAACCACTCTTAAAATGAACTCATTGAAATGGAATATCTTTGTAAATTATTAATTGACACATATAATGTATTTGTCACCGTCTAAATATAGTCAATTCAACGTTAGTTTGAAAATATTTATGTTTATTGTTTCTTGCTTCTGATTTTCAATTTTTAAAAAACATAAATATCGGATAACTATTCATGTTTCTCATCTCTTACTTTTAAGAAATGTTTCAAAAATGATGTAGAAATTCTATAAACAACAAAATCAATTTTTTTTTAATTCACGTTTCCATTTTTTCCAAAAACATGGATAAAATTATTATGTTATCATTTTATTTTTAAAATTCATAATAAAAATAAAAAATAACATAACATAAAAAATGGAATATTTAATTTGTAAAATTAAATTCCATATAAAACTTAACATTTTTTAAATCTAAAATTTTCAAACATGTATATGTTTTTTTTTTCTCAATAAAAAAGAAAAGAAGAAGAAATAAAAAATAGTTATTATCAAACTTACCCTTAATTGATTGAGTTACCTATCAAATAAATTCACTTATAATTTTGAATGATTGTAGGAAAAAAAAATCACATTTGTAAGATTGAATGGAAAATGACCAACTACCCAATACAAAATTTATGCTTCTTGAATTTAAACAAGTCAAAATCAACTTATGTTCACACCTTTATTTTACATAAACTATTTTAAAAACCTATCTAGAAGGGTTTTCTTTTTGTTTCACTTTTGTGAAGAAATTTTCTTAGTTTTGTTTGGTTTGATCCATTTGATTGTTACCACATGATGGGTTTCTTATCAATCAAATTAGCAATTGATTACTTGGATTGCGTGGGACCCATGATTGATTTGTGATCTCAATTTGTTTCTCTAAGTAAAATGGATGGGAAGTTTGCCTTTGACTATTATTATTAAAATTCATTATTAAAAGGGTATCAAAAYTCGTTACGTGTCATCTTATTATATGTTAATTCTAATATGTATCGCAAATATTTCTATTAAAAAATTCGAATTGATTCAGTTTTTCATTCTTTCTGACTTTTTCCTAAAGTTGAAAAGATTGAAAAAATTTGGTCACTAAGAACGATTAGCGAAACATTTTATTTTAATTTTTTAATTGGAAGTTAAGATTTTGAAAGCAAGCCGATTAAGTTGAAGTTGAGTATTTTGGAATCAAACTGAAATGAATAAAACTTGACGAAATTTTTCTTTCCCACAAACAAAACCACCCAATTGCAGCAGATTTCAAAGCAATATCACTGCCCTTGTTCCTTTTAAGATTCAAAATGGGAATTGATCATTAGGCCAAAATGATTACTTTGGAGAAGGCATTATTATAGCAATCTTAGACCTTTTCTTGCCTTTAATATCTTCTAAGATTATGATGCATCGTATTTTCAAAGGATGTTCCATTTTAATCTCCTTTTTTGGACTGTCTGGGCCCAATCATTAGAACAAATTTGGCCCAACACCCACCTGTCAATACACCACAGATTCACCTTCATTTCCCTCGACTTTTTAACAAATCTTACCCAAACAAAGGTAATTTTACTTTTAACATTAATTATCCCTCGTCCAATCATTATTGAACCGAAAAATTTGAGTTAAGAAATATAATATATATATTTCGACACTCCCGTCCTTTATAAGTTGAAAAACTAACCAAGACCTGACAAGGTATTAATTAAAGAATAAATGATATTATAGAGGAGATTGTAGATACAGAGACTCGAAATTACCTCAATGCAGTATCATTGTTGTGCGGTAAAATTAGTGCAACTTCATGATTTGAGTAATGAATAACTTCACCGACCACTCGATTTAGTTTCTAACATGTTAGAAAAATGATAGAACATCGAGACGTGTACTTTGCACACATTTTTCTTCAAGCATATATGAATCTCACTCATATGGTTTGAGAGAGATCAGGAAAAGGAAGAGAAAAAAAGATAAATTCAAAATGTAAATCACATTTTGCAACAAGAAAAATGTGGAGAAATAGTAGAATTGTGTGGAGACAGTAAAGTGGACGGGTATATGGAGGACAGCTAACCTTAAACCCAATTAGAACTAACACACATCTTTGTTGTGTCTGATGTTGGAAGATTCTCTTTCTCTTTCTCTAGCTTCTTCGAAACTTACTGCCTATGGCTCTTCAACCCACATCGCCTGCCAGCTTCTGAAACTGAACAACTTTTGAGAGTATTGTCTTCAAGTGAATTAACTTTTTTTAATTGGGGCTGTTCAAAAAAGTTCTGATAAAGTGCTTACTCTAGGAGTGCTTTCCATTGTTTGTCGTTTGATCCAGAAAATTGATAAAAGACTGCTGAGGGTAGGATTTGGTGACTACCGAACGAAGGAAATTGCAAAATGGAATAAAAGCTCCAATGTTCAAGTCAATACTTATTCGATCCATTGTTCGAAATTTTTTTTTTGCGTACTTTAGTGGTAAGGCAAGCGTCTCTATTTATAGAGACGGAACTTCCGAAAGGACCTCTAACAGTCTCGAGAATCATGACGTGTTGTATGTGATTTGGTTGGAGAGGTTGCTCCTGCAGATGCTCTCGAAAGTCGACTCTTCCTTTGAGAAGGCTCGCCAAGGTACGAAATTCAAGTCGGCACGACATTAGTTACCAAGCTATTGGGATTCTTCCAAATAATGAGTCACATTTGGTTCCTCACATCATTTGGATGACTGATGACTTGGTAATACATGTTTCATCGATACATGACAGCTGATAATTCGCCTCTAATAACTATTTTGTGTTTTTTAAAAATTTTCAAAATCATCTTGACTTTATAACTAAATATCGTGGAAGTTATGGAAGTTTTTGAAGAGCTTGTAATTAGTTCTAAATACTTTTTTTACGTTCGAAAAGTTGTGCTAAAGTACTCATACTTGTAGACGATATCCTTTTTTTACAGTTGCAAGATTTTATTGTTCATTGCCATTTTATAAAATATGGGAAGAAGACTGCAAATGGCTTTGACTAAGCTCCCTCTCTTTGCCCTTCTTAGTCTTGTTTCGACGTTAATAAGACTCAATATAGAGTGGTTGTATTTTTAGAGGGAATTTAGCTTTCATTTCTATTATCTTTTGCTTTTTGCAAAGATGAAGGTTAATACATGCACGGATACACTTCTAGGTACACTAGCACTAACGAGATACTAGTGATCAATATGATTATCGTTGGTCAATAAACTATTTATGTAGTCATCTCGAACACAGCTCAACTAGTTAAGATATTATAACCTTGACCATTAGTAGGAACTAAAAAAAATACTATTTATGTAATTGTTTTTTACGAATAGACTGTGGATAAAGATAAATATTATGGGCTATAACTTGGGCCAACGGGGACCGGACTGCCCAAGATGGACGAATGTAACTTACAATTAACAAGGCCCACTTACGACAGATCCAAGCTTCTTGAAATCCCTGCTTGGCTCTTGGCTCTTTGTTCTCGCATCTCTTGGCAATGGAGGAGCAAGTTTTGTCCTAAATTTACAGAAACTGCCATTCATGGCGTCTCTAAAGATTCAGAGCAATGGATAACACGACGGACAGAGCGAACCAGCCCAGTATGAAGTAACCCACCAATCTCGTCGGTCCCTCGTCTTCCGGTTCCTGCACTCATCGCCATCACAAATCAAAGGTCAGTTTCACCACATCACTACGGCTTTTCTTGACGCAAATGGAGAGTACCTTCGGCGGCGGCATCTGAGTTTGAATCTGAGTTATATCGGCCTCGAACGGCCAGGAATATTTGTCTGGTTCTCCGATTCTGGCTAAGCTCCAATCGTACATTCTCCTCTCTTCCACCGATGACAGTATCGTGTACGATTCCTGTAATCATTCTTCAGAATTACTTGCAATCCCATCTCAAAAAAGGATTTAGGGTTTTGTTTTGATTTGGTTTCCTACTGACTTTTAGGAGTTCGAGTTTTTGGTTGAGTTCTTCGTCCTCCAATCCCTGGCTCTTCAGTTCTTCAACCTTGATGTTGTACGCAATCGGAACCTGGAAGGAATTGGGGCCGATCGAGATCAATCGAAGAATTAGGGTTTCTTTTTGAGAAGTTGATTGAATTAAATTACCTGATCGTATGGACATCCTCTGCGGAGTCCGAGTCTTCCGTAGTGATTGACGTCTGTAATTGCTGCAATACCAGAACAAATTTCATTGAAATTTATACGAACTTGATCATAAATCTGGTAAATGGGAGGGGACTAGAGTTTGATAACGTTACGAATGCCACGGAGGGCTCGCTCGACGTTGAGAGCCGAAATCAGAGACGGCGCTCCATCGGGGGCTTCGATGGAGCTTTCTTGCTCCGGCTCAGTCGCCGTCTCTGTTGCGGCGGTCTCCGCCGATGAGTCGTTGGAATTTCTGATGCAGAATTTGAGCGGCTTGGGGAGGGAAGTAATGGGGTTGAAGGAAATGGCGGCGGTTTTTGGGGTCGGAGAGAGGAAGTTGCTCCGGGAAATGTGGACGGCGGTGGCGGTGGTGGAGGATACTGCTGCCGCCATGGTGGGTGGTGGTGGTGGTGGCCTTTCTGGCGACGGCTTCGATTATTGTGTATTGATTTGATGGCCTTTCCTTCAGTTTCTTCAACTTCGGTGCTTTGTAGAACAGATAAGAGGATGTTTTTCAACCAAACGAATGCTATCGCCAAATATTTGCTTTGTTACGGAGTTATGATGATGGGGGCATTGAATTTTTCGTGTGTTTTTTCTTTTAATTTACCTAGATTACGATATATTGTTTACTTAGAGACATATGAACGTAAAATAAATAAATAAACAATGACCGCAGATTTGAACTTCCAATTTTCCTTTTTTTCTTTTTTTATGAGTAAGTATCTTAATTGTTCCATGTTCAGGTTGGTGGCTAACGTCAATTTTTTTTAGGAAAATGAAGGATCAAACTTGTAACTTTTTTATTAGAGATATATGTCAATTCTTGTTAAACTATGTTCGTTTTGACGTGGTTAACGTCAATTTGAAACCTGCTATCATGATATTTGATTTTGCTACTTAGGTCAATTCAACTAGTTGAATACATAACATACAAATGAGTTAACAAAGTTTAAAATTTAAAAATAAAAAATAGCAGTTGAACTAAAAAAAACCTATTTAAAAGAAAAATATTTGGTTCACAATTAGGTTAGATTTTATAAACAAGTAATGCTATATCAAGAGTCCAAATATGGGTATAAAATGATAATTTACCGATACCTCACTTAACTAAAATTTTAAATATTTTCTTTAAAAAAACCTAAAAGTTTAAATAAATTAAATATAAAATCGATAATTGAAAAGTAAAAAAACAAAATTGATAAATATTGGGAATTTAAATACATTAAATATAAAATCGATAATTTACAAAATTGATAAATATTTATATATTTAAATAAAGCAAAGATCTGATTCTAAGCAACATGTCGTTGTAGTATAGTGGTAAGTATTCCCGCCTGTCACGCGGGTGACCCGGGTTCGATCCCCGGCAACGGCGAATTTGTTTTTATGATTCATAGTTTTTCTCATGTCAAATGAAAACGACGTCGTCAAGCTGCGTTTTCTCATGATAATTAGACTTCGTTCTTTTTTTCTTTTCAATTTACCTAAAAATATTAGGTTATATTATGTATTCGGAGACATATGAAAAAAAAAAAGATAAACCCTATTTACCAACCTTTAAAAAATAAGAAACCCTACCTTTTGGCTTCCAACTTTAAAATAACGAGTGAGACCCTCGTGATGAGGTTGTAGAAGTGTAATGCTATTACACCATTTTAGGAAATGAGATTATAAAATTTGAGGTGGATCAAATAATTTGATTTCATTCCTACAATTTGGTAAACACCATCAAATAAAATAAAAGTTTTCATTACGATTGATTGATTACGATTGCGAGTAAGTAAATGAGATATAAATGTCTTGAGTTATTTTTATTGGCAACCAAAGACAATTTAAATATAAATAATTTTTAATGTGGAATTTGAAAGGAAAAAAAATAAGTTTTTACTTGGCCATCAGAGCATAAATAAGACATATATTACCATCTTAGAGGTAGATAACTCGACTTCCCACGTCCACAACTATTGAACTAAAAAAACTAACATAAACATAGTTTACATCTACTTTTTATTTTGAGGAGACTCAAATCCTAAATAAAGTGCCAGAAATTAGGAAAAAAAATTATTTAAAAGAAATAGATTTTGTTTAATGCTATATCACGAGTTCAAAATACGCAAATAAGACGATAATTTAATAACACCTCAACTTTCCCTTTAAAATAATTTTTATATGGAATAACAAATTTTAAATATAATAAAATATTCATTGCTTCAACAGGGAGTCGTTGTAGCATAGTGGTAAGTATTCCCGCCTGCCACGCGGGTGCCCGGCTTCGATCCCCGGCAACGGCGCATTTACATCTTAATTTCATATTTTTTCTGATGTCAACCCAAAACGACGTCGTCAAGGACCAGGCTTCCGTTTTCTTATGATAATTCCTGCCTCCGGCTTTCACTATTCCGATGCTGTTCAGTGTGTCTCTCTGGGGACTCGGAAGGAGGAATTCGATTGATTCGTAGTTATTGGCTATGGGTTTAGAAATGGAGGCTTCCGTATCGTCCTCCGAAGCAGGTCCCACCCACCCCGCCGGACCACGAAGTTTTCCGCTGGCGGCTCAGCCGGAGATCATGCGAGCTGCGGAGAAGGACGATCAGTACGCCTCTTTCGTTTACGACGCTTGTCGCGACGCTTTTCGCCACCTCTTTGGTCTGTTACGCACACTCTACCCCTCACCAACCTAATCCCTTTTACTTATTTGCTTCATTTCCATTCTAGTTTGTTATGTTTTCGCGGCTCTTGGTCTTCGAAAGTGGAACTTATGGCTTCAATTTATTGTTTATTGTTAAGCCAATTCTTTAATTGGGTGTTTACAGATATGTGGTTGTCTCTAGTTTATTGGACCTTCTAATTGTATATTCGTTGATGTATATTGCTATGGTACGAGTTAAAGATGAGTCTAGTCTGGTTTTAATTTGTCTAACTCTTATTTTTCTCTTCGTTATAGGCGCTCGGCTTGCCGTGGCATATCAGAGTGAGGTTAGTTCGTGATTTGATTACGTTCAATTTGTAAAATATTGTATTTTGGCCAGTTAGCTTTGAAGGGTACGGCTGCTATTTTTTTTTTTTTGTTTTTTTTTTTTTGCAATTTCTTCTGCTTTGAAACTTGGTAGGACTAGGAGCTACACATACACAATTAGAATTCTAAGATATATTTGGTGTAAAATGATGCTGAAACAATGGAAAAGTAACTGGTGTTAGTTGTACAGGATATCCATCTTCTCTTGTTAAAGCATTATTTAGGTCCTTAAAACTTGTTTTTTTTCCCTCCTTAATTCATTTTACTGCAGAAGAACACAGGGATTCTTGACAAAATTTATCTTCAATTTTAGAAGGATATTGAATTCCTTTTTTGTTTCTGTGCAGACAAAGCTTCTTGGACAGATGCTATATTATGTGTTAACGACCGGGTCAGGACAGCAAACACTTGGAGAAGAATATTGTGATATAAATCAGGTAAATAAACATTTGATTCATGTTATTTCTAGCTGACAGGTTCACTTTTGTTGATTTTTGTGTATGTTCACCTTAGTATCTTGCTACTGCTGAGTGTGTTTTTTAGTTTTTTTTTTGTTGTTTTAAATGTTTAAAGTTATTTTTTAGGTTTCTGGACCTTATGGACTTCCTCCAAATCCAGCAAGACGTGCTCTTTTCATCGTATACCAGACAGCAGTCCCGTACATTGCTGAAAGAATTAGGTTCTCTATCAAAAATGTTACTGGTTTTCAGTTGTAACTATGTTTGACTGTAGTGATCTCTGATGCAGCAAGGTCCAGTCCACTTGATGAACTTACTGTTCTAATTGTTTACTTTTCAGCTCTAGACTAGCTTCTCGTGGCATCATGCTTGCCGATTCTCAGTCTGATGAGTTCTATGGAGAAAATGCATCGGAAAACACATCTTCTCAATCTTCTGTAACCATGGAAGTTCAACCTTCTTCAACCCCAGGGTATTCTGCTTCTTACCTAATGAGATTGAGGGCAAAAATTAATCGATTATGGCTGCAGACAGTTCGATGCTGGCCTTCGGTACACTTACTTCCATCATATGCCACTCATGGAATCTGTAACTTTGAAACTAGGATACAATAATTTTGATATTTTGAGGTTGTACTAAATTTGAATCTAGGATGCGATGGTTTGGTGTTTGTCAGTTTTGAGTTATATACTAAAATATTTATTTGGATACTAATGTCTTGTTCTATGGAATTTTTGTTTTTGGAATTAAATCAAAGTATTAAAAGTTCACTTAGATTGGATTCACTTCCTTGACATGCTTTATTTTCTGTAACTTTTTTTGTTATTATAAAAATCATACCTTTTTTTCTTAATGTTTCACAGGTTTTGCCTCTAGTTCGTGAATTTTTGCAATTAGCCCTCCGCACAAACCTCATGTTTTTCTATTTTGAAGGTGATTCCTAGTTGTAGAGATGCAGATACTATTATTGATGTTCATGCGAACAGTTTAGATGGAATATTGTTGGCTAGTGTTCTTATAAAAAAAAAAATTATTGGCTAATGTTGGAAGTTTAATTTTCAGGACTGTATTATCATATATCCAAACGAGCTGCAGGCATTCGCTATGTGTTCATTGGAAAACCATCTAATCAAAGACCCAGGTGTTGATACAAACTGACTTATGTTATGAAATTTTTGTTTCGAGTTTGAGTTTTCTTTTGAGTTGTCCAAGTTCATCTTAATATGTTCGTTTGTTCACTGAAGCTAGTTTCCTGTCCAAAAAGAAGAGGTTCATACTAATATCTGAAATATTTTTATTTTGCATCTAGATCTTAGGTGACTTATTTTCTTATATAAATGCTAAAATATCTGCAGAAAAATTCTGGATATGCTAAAATATCGCTTGTCATGTCTTTAACTTCTTTCAAAGCATGTCATTTGGTTTAGCATCTGTACATTTAAATTATGGATATGTCAAAAACGTTCATTCTCTTCGTACTCACTATGACACAGATACCAAATACTTGGAGTATTTCTACTTATTCAACTTTGTATCATTGCTGCCGAAGGCTTAAGACGTAGTAGTTTATCATCTGTTTCAAATTCAATTAACCAGACATCCTTTGGAGCAAATCCTTCGTCATCAGGTACTAAGACTCCTAACAGTTATGCAATTTATTGTTGAAATATTCGCACGTCTAGTTAACCCCCTTTTTCCTTGAAGAACTTTCCATTTAAAATAAGCCTTAAAGAAATACAGCAGCTTTGATTTGCGTTATTAAAAGTGGGCGTTACGTCCTTGATCTGTGTCTGAACTTAGAAACTTCAGAAAACCTATTTTCCTGGTTTAGTACATCGAAATTAGAGCTCATACTTGTGGTTATGTCAGGAAAGTAGTGCAGTTTTTCTTCAAAATACATATTTTGGTAAATTGAAGTCATTAATATTTTCATGGACATGGATATTTAATTCTGTCTGTATTCCCTTTGTGGTAGGTCGTGGTCTGCCTATTTTAAATGAGGAAGGTAGTTTGATATCAGTTGATGGTGACTCTGGAAATTGGGTCTCTGATCCTTCACACTCTGAGGTACCATTCCAATTGCTCTACTGACATGGATGAGGCATAAGTTTAAAAGAGAAGAAAAAGAAACAAGTTGGTCAGAGCGAGCCTGTTTATGTGAAATAAATGCATAATAACATTAACTTAACCCATGAGGTGAGGTGTTTTTACTTAAAACATACAGTACGAAGCTTATCATGGTGCAAGAAGTTGTAAAGGATAATGAATGTCAATGGAAGTTTAACCTATCCGTTTAAATTTCTTGATTGAATATGATTTAACATAACTATCGGCTGGCATGAACTTAACTTAGCAGTAATTGACATGTGACCAAGAGGTTTTGAGTTCGAATCTTCCGCCCCTACTCGTTGTACTAACAAAAGAAAATAACATAACATTCATTTCATATAAATAGTCCGTAGTGGGTGTTGATTGTGGTGTTAACCTCACATAGAATGTTGAGAATATATTGAAAAGATATGCTCTACTTTTTTCTGCAGCCAAATGCAAGCAGCGGAATAAGCAAATGCACGCTGTGTCTGAGTAATCGCCAGCACCCAACAGCCACACCATGTGGCCATGTATTCTGCTGGTACATTCTCTATCATCCCCTCTCTCTCTCTCTCTCTCTCTCTCGTTCATTCAGGTTTGACCTTATTTTTTCCTTCTTTTTGTGGGTTTTAATATGAGCAGGAACTGCATCATGGAGTGGTGCAATGAAAAACCAGAATGCCCTCTGTGCAGAACTCCCATTAATCATTCAAGCTTAGTGTGTCTATATCATTCAGATTTCTAAGCCTCCCTTCATTAATAACTTTATTCTTTACCTCTTCTTCCTTTTAAAAAATCTTATTTATACCCGTATTTTCTCGGGTAATATTTTTTTTTGTCTACCCGAACATAGCTCTCAACTAGTTAAAGCATAAAACAACCTCGTACAAGATCGGAGGTTCAAATTTCAAATTTCTACTCCACTCATGGTATGATACACACATTTCTGTTTATATATATATATTTTAAGATACCATTGTATATACAAGGCAGGAGATTGATTACCGGAAAACGAAGGAATTCGGTGTCTTTGATACCGGTTGTGGCCGGTAGCATCTGTTGCCATATTGTCTACAATAATTGATGTACAATAATTTGTCTTCCGCAATCCCAGAAAATGAAAAATAAAATAATTTATCTTTTTTCTCCATCAAAAGTGTAATAATTTTGACAAAAATATTAATAACAGACTTTTAAAATATATACACACATGCACGTACATATTTTTTTAATGCCTCAAGTTTGAAAAACAACATTTTATTCTTTGATAAATAAGCTTTAATTAAATGACAAACAGTACTCGGAAAAAATGCATCAAAGATGAATTTACAAAAATATTAAGCTTAAATTGAAACTAAAATCGAAATATATAACTTAAAAATTTTTCAGTTCATAATTAACATACTAATTACTCCAACGGCTAAATTCAGTGATTCTAATGATACCAACAACGATTCTCTTGTTAAATGTCGTTAGTGTCTTTAATTAAGTTAACAAAACAGCTAAAAGAAGCTTTGCCAAAACCAGGGCCTGAAGCTTAAGATCCTTCTGTGCTCTACTTCAGTGCGCTTCGACCGGGAAGAGATGAACTGTTTGAGGCAGGAGATTGTAGTTGATATTCAGTTCTTCAAAAATTTTCTTCAACTCCATCACCAGCTCGGTTCTGCGTCGATTCTTCTCCGCCCACTCTTGAAAATTCAAGGTGTGGTTCACGTAAAGAGCGATCTTTATCTTATTCACATCTTCGATCTCCTTCACCACCACATCGTGATTTGGATGCCAATGTTGTGAATTCTTCTCCAAATACCTGAAATCCATTGCAGAAACATTGGTAAAGATCGCATTGCAGAGTAACGATTTTCGTTCAAATCTTTCTCTATTCATTCTACTTCTACCCACCTCTTTATTCTCTCCTTCATGGCCCCGATCCTCTCCAACGGCGTCGTGAAACTGATTGAGAACTCTACAGTATCACTCATGTCTGGACTTCTGTAGTAATTGGTGATGGGCTTAGTTGACAGAACTGAGTTTGGATAGTACACCTTCTCGTTGCTGAGTTTCAAGAAGACTGTTGTCAAGATGTTCATTTCTTCAACCAACAACTGCAAATTGCCCCACAAGTCAGAGTAACAAGAACTGATTTCATTTTGTGCAAGTTGAGAAGCTTACCGGGACGCCATCGACAACACAACGGTCCCCAACATCAAATGGATGCATGACGAACACGAAGATTAGAGCTTCAAACGTAGTCTTGCACGTGTTTCCGAACATGAAGGCTGCCACTGCAAGTTGAGACAGAAGGAAGACAAGTACTTTGGTGGTAGCAATTTCCATCAACAGAAGCCAAACAACCGCTGTTACTATTATAAGAAGTGCTGTTACTAAATTATTCAGTTGCTTCACAGCAGTTTTAGTGTCTTTCAAGGCATGTGCTAGCGTTTTCCTCCCTTGATAAACCTTCACCTGCACAAATAAAAAACAAGTTACTACATGCCACAGAACATCGTCGAGACACTTCGGTTATCGACAGATGATTTGGGAAAAAAGGGGAACTAGATGTTTGACCACAACCACAAGGCTTCAGAGCTCACAGAAAGCATTTCCAATCAAGTATTCTCAATCAACAACTACAAGCACTCTACATGTTTTCGGTTTAGGACTTCGTTAGCTTATTAGGAATCATCGAATGAGAATGATTCCTGACTTGTGTATCCCACAGCAAAAGTAGAAATGATGCTTAATGTTAAGGGAATCTCTAGTTCGATTCTATCGGGGCCTAAGTGAGCTTCGTTCATGACTTCTAACGTGTCCGAGTGGCTTGATGACTTGATATTACTAAAAGATAAATAATAAACACAAGATCTCACCACCCAATTTGTTAGAGCTTTCCTATCAATCTGCCTTGTATCAGCTACCTCAAAGAGTGGTAACACAAGATCCACTTCTTCTTTGATCATAAATTTCAGAAGATCTTCTTCCTCTATGAACCTAAAACAGAAGAGAAAGGGTAAAATGTTGAAGTGAATCTCAACAAAAGACCACAGAGCAAAAGGGAAAAGTTTCTCACTTGTTTCCAGGAAGAGCAACATTGTTGAAGATCCTGTAGGCCGCAGCTCGGGCAACTTCCATCTCATCGGTGATATCACTATCCGCCACTTCAGCTCCACCATTTTGGTAGCTTTCGTCGAGTAATTGTGAGATCGACAACTCCGAACTAGTAACTGCATCAACCAACACCTTCATGGTCCAAGCAGAAACCTTCTCCCGTTTCAGCTGGTGAATCTTTCCCATGTCAATCACCTTTTTATGGTCTGACTTCTTACCCTTCAAACTCAGTCGACCACTGCTGGACTTGGCACTGGCAGCACATTCAGCCACCCCCATTAATGGAGGCCTCGAGAGGGTCTGTAGAACATGATGATGGAATATCGATTCCTGGATTCGGTCGAAAAATCGGTTCATATGGAACTTGGACGCCAGTATTTTCAGCAACAATGTTTTCACCAACCACAAAAACGCCCCTATTAGAAGGGATACCAGAGTCCAAGTCCCAGCATCCAAAATCTTCCCGGCGGTCTTTGATCTCAAAACCCTATGGTTACTCCGATCGAACAACGACGCCCAGGTAGCAAGAACCAACGTCAACCAAAGTGTCACTTGGACAATCTTCTTCAATCCGTGAACAAAATAAAGAACTTTCTTCTTGAGCAAAAAGTTCCTCTCAATCAAAAACACAATCACATTCATCACCCATTTAGTAAAAATCATTCCACACAAAATCACAGTTGCAAGCAAACACCATTTCCAAATCTCCAAACCCCAGAGGAAGCAATTCCTCAAACGGTTGACAGTCAAGCTAGCCACCAAGCAACCAATGATGCAAAAAACCCCAACCCACTTCACCAACGTCTTCATTTTCAGTTTCTTGTGCTTCTCTTTGCTCAGCTGCTCTGTCTTCCAGATTGCATCTTCGTCTTCTTCCTCAGCTTGCGCCCTCGGCGTGGTGAGAGCCGATTTGTGACCAGGCGAGGCCCTTCTGGAGGAAGTGGCACCGATTTGTTCTCTCAACGACAACCGATCCTCTTCAAACATATCCGAATCGATGTAATACGGCTGCTGTTCCCCAAATCGGGATTTGGGTTTGGATTGGATTGATCTTTTGAGAGATTTTCTGGGCATGAGGGTTCCACTGGAATTGGGGATTTTTGGGGGTTTATTAGCAGAGCCAATGCTGGAATCCGTCGGCCCTTTGTTCTGAGAATCGACTACTCTGTTCTGGCTCGGAACAGAGCAGCCATTTTCGTCTCTGGTTTCTTTGGAAGGAACTACGCCGCTAATTTCTACAACCACTTGGCCTCCATTTTCACTTTCCTTCTGAGACGAGCTTCTTCGAACAGCTTTCAAAGGTTTATTGCCGTTCACATCCATCACAATCCAGTCCTACCTCCTAACAGATGAAGCTATTAACAACAAGAAAAAAGGGTCACCAAGAATCAGAACTCAAGAAAGACCCACAGAAACCCACAATGTTAGAAGGAAAACTTACCAAAAGACACACACAGTTTCTCGAATGCAATAAACTGCAAATCTTAAGAACAGAAACCCACTTCGTTTCAACAAAAACAGAGGGGGAAAAGAGAGAAAAAAATTATGGCGGAATCAGGGCAGTGGGAAACAGAGAGAAAACGCACCAAGAAAGCGACCCCAGTGCGATTGAAGGGGAAGTGGAGGAGCCGTTCAAGTCAAAAGCTGCAGAAATGAGGTTCGCGTTTCGCTCAGCCAACTGTAGGTCACTCAGAAGGACGATTTGGGCCAAAAACTTCCATCCCCACACCAGATTGCTTGTTGGGTCATGGTTTCATTTCAGAGTTTCGTTCATAAAAATGGGAATCGAAGAGCGACGTGCACCGCTTACCACTTACTAAAAGGGCTTAAATTTTGTTTAAGCGATTAAAAAAATCCGTGGGAAGACGACTGATTTGCCTGGGGAGTCGTAGCGATTCATGTGTTATATAATATATATATATATATATATATATCTGTATGTACAGAACAGATGAGAGAAAGAGAAAGAGACTGCGCAATACCAAAATGGTGAGCCCTGTCATGGTGTCCCTGTCCTCTTCTCATTATAATCTGGAAATCAATGGAAACTGCACTCGCACACCCGCCCACTGAGAAAAATATTTGAAATACGAGTAACAACTTTTATCTTCTCACCTCTAACCGTTAAATATTTGACAATTCATAAGGTATTTTCTACGTGAGTAGCACATAACAGAACAACGTCCAATACACCGGTAACTCCCATCATACGAATTGGGTTCAACGTCCAATTATAAAATCCTTGAAAAAAGAGGATGAATCGAAATATAGCTGCTACACCAAAATTAGGAGCAAAGCACCAACCAAACTGACCTAGTGGATAAATCAGGAATACAGAAACAAAAGCGACAATTGGACCCGAAAATGCGATTGCATTATAAGGTCGCAATTGAACAGATCAAGAGAGTTCAAATCGACATAACATGAAACATATTAGTCCAAAAACACTGTGGAAAGCAACCAAAGTCCATTACTGTTTAAAAAGAAGCTTTTACAATTCTTTAAGAAAATTTATTGTCGTATACAATTGTCATTGTGCTTTAACCAATTGGACTAAATTCAAATTAGCATATAATTGCTAACTAGAACATAGCAAAATACCTTTCTCAAAGTCCAAAGTTCAATTCCAACCCACACATCTGTTGGACTAAAAAAAAGGGAAGTTCATCGCATATAATCGATGTATAGATATACGTCAATACATGATAGCAAATTCATGGCAAAATATAAAATAGATATTCTTAAAGTTATAAGGATTCTATTCAACCATTTTTTCTTAGTACGATAAATGCGATGATGAGAGATTGAACCTCGAACTTTTTAGAGAAACCAGTTAAATTGTTCACCACTGCGGCACTCAACTTACTTATGGTTCAAGTAATCAAAATATTTAAATGGTTGTAATAGTATAAAAGTGATGAAGAAGAACAAGAAAGTAACCAAAGTTGTTATGTTCCTCTTATTCCAAAGTCCAAAGACATTGATTTTGAGCCCAACAACTAAAGTAGAATACTAACAAATGACATTTTTAGGAATGCAATTTATGGTCACGGTAATAGCCAAAAATAGTTGAACCAATATTTTGCTGACCACATTCTGTGTTCCTCTCATTAATCAGTTACATCAAAATGAAGGCCACGACCAAAGGATCTTTTATTATTTTATTTTCTAATATTTGGGAGTCTTTTTTAATGCAATATATGAATATAAAGATTCAAATTTACAATATTTTAGTCGAATATTATTATATTTGAATCTTAAATCCATTAAAATAATTCTATATGTTACTAATGTAACATTGTTTGGGGAGGAATAACTTATTTAATRGTACTTCGTTAAGAGCGAAAAATATCGTGTTTGGTCAAAGAACACAGCCAAATCCTCCATTTCTTTTAACTTTTGACACTTGTCTGGTTAGGTATACATGGTTTTATTCACCTGATTTTTCCTCATCGATCTCACACAGATTAATTATTTTCAAAAGGTGTAATATATATATATATATATATATATATTAAAACACACGATACATGAAATGAAATTGAAATTAGACCAAGTTGTAGTATTGTTCCTCCAAGAGGACAAAGAGGGACAGTATTTAAGACATCCCATCCCATTGGTCCATTACAAGAAGACAAAACAAAGGTACAAAAATAGAATCCCAACTCCCAAAGATAATAAATGACGTTTTTCCTTTTGTGCCCTTTATATTTTAAAAAAGATATTTAGATTTAAATTTCACTTTCATATATAAATTCTCAAATTTATTCTATTTTGTTGTATGAATTTTTAAAACATTCATCGTAAAATTTTTAAAAAATTGGTTTAATTATTCAATTTTCAGAAAGTAACTATTTTTGTACTTTTTTTATTATGTCACATAATAATTGTCTATTAACTACCTATCTCATCCAATTTGCATGACTTTAATATATGCTCAGATTAATATTTAAAATAAACTGGTTTCTATATCTGACTAACAGATCATGAGTTCGAAATCTCTATAAATTAAAAAACACTAAAAAATAATAATAATTTATTATTATTATGTATAAATTGGATTCTATGGAAAATGGATTAAACATAAAATTTGATGGACTGAAATAAAATTTTGAAATAAGTTGAAATTTTATAAACCAAAATATTTAATTTCTATTTGGGTACATTTTGTTCGGTGTTTATTGATTTTGTAATATTTAATCCCATAAATTTAATAAATTAAAACCACACCAGTTTTAAATACAATTAAAGAAAACTCCAGTATTATTTTCCTAACAGGGATTAAAAATGTAGATTTACAAAGATTCAAGGATAAGCCTGTCCATTTTTAAAATTCAAGATTTAAAACAACAATTAATCAAATGTCATTGATTAAAAAAATATATATTTTCCACTGAGGAAGTAAAATACTCATTTGTAAGAGTGGAGACAAGTCAAGTCTTTGAGTAAATTTTTGAATATTATATATGTTCTAGAACCTTCTTATCTGGGCCTGCCACGTGTCGTTTTTTCCCCTTCTACTATTATTATGAGCTATTCTTTATAATTATTACTTTTTTTAATCATAATTTTTGGGGAAAAAAAAAACGCATACGTTTTCTTTATGTCGTTAAGTTAAAAGATTTTGTTCCCTCTGGGATTCTGAAAATGGAATGGATGATGAAAACGAACGGTTTTTTCTCTCTCCATCAGACTCTTCTTCTTTAAATAATGTGTAATATTATTCAAGGCAATGGATAAAATTTACGTTGGTTTTTTTAAGGGAAAAAAAAAATATTTTTAGTGCCTACCGGATTTTGCTTTGCATTCTAGTAGGATAATTTAGTCACCTGAGCAGCGAAGATATACAATTTTTCTTGAAATCGAAAGTTTAAATTTACACGCTCTTGATTTATTGTATTGTAAAACAGTTTTATTAGTGAACATAATTTTGAAGAACATAAAAATTAAAAACAAAGGCATTATCAAACAATATATTATACAATTATTAAAAAAAAAAAAGAGAGTGACAACATATATATTTGATATATACACAAAATGATTTAGTTTTGAATTCTTCTCAAGCARCCGGTTATGGCTGCAAAAGATGGTCTAACGGTAGCATTTCCATTCCAGCAACCGGTTATAAGTTCTATAAGCTCCTCGAGCTCCCCATCCTCGTCCACCGGAAGCTCCGGTCTCAGGTTGCCTTCTCCAACTTCCATGGCAATCTGTACAACATGCCAATTATATATGGGAAATATAACATTTTAAAATGATTTCAAATATTTATGTGATTTACAAATTAGTAAATTATATTAATATTCCTCTTTCATCAATGAGTTTGGTACATAATTTTTTTATTTATAAAATTAGCGAAAGCACATGAATATGATATGTAATTATTATTTAGAATTAAAAAAAATAAAGATTGACTTGACTTTGTTTCAAGACCATTTTTTAAAAAAAAATTAAGCACGTTTACAAGTGTCCCTGTTAAAAAAATTAGATTAAAAATACCATTTTGATCATGTAATTTCAAGTATATATTTTCAACTTTGATTCATTTTAATCTCTGTACTTTCTTTAAAAATGATCATTTTAGTCCGTATTTGCAAAATTTAACATAAATTCTACCTATTAATAGAAACCTTTTAATATAAAATCATGGTTTTATCTCAAAAAATGCATTGAGTGTAATGTTGTGTTGAAATTATGATAAAAAAATAAAATTAAGAAATMAAAATAGCCACTTTCTACATGTATATGATCAAAAMTTTCTACAATTATAGGATCAAAACGAACATTTTTGAAATATGGAGATTAAAATAAACCAATTTTGAAAGTACATGGATTAAAATGAATTACAAGCACCAAAATAGTATTTTAACAAACAAAAAATATATAGAGTATTTACTAAAAAATTCGAGTTTTTTTATTTTTATTTTTTCAAGTCATGTCTAATAACAATATCTATTCTTTAACAAAAAAGAATTACAAATATATATATATATATATATATATATATATATATATAGAATAGAAGACGAGTATTTCATAAAATTCATATGTTTTATTATATATATTTTAAAATTAACTATTCATATTAATTGTTTTAAAGTATACCTTAATTTAGATGCTTTTATTTTTTTWAAAAAAATATTTTCTCTTGACAAAGTTAAAATTAAAAATATAACAATAAAAAAGGTTGTATATTACATTGGTGCGAAGTATGCGGCTGCTAAAAAGCACAAAAAATGTGGATAAATATATATAGGATGGGTACCTTGAGGGGAGAATAATCTATCTCAATATAAGGATATTTTCCTGTTATAAGTTCATTTAATATGATTCCGAAGCTATATACATCGCTCTTTTCGGAGTAAGGCTCACATCGAATCACCTCTGGTGCCATATAAACGTATGTTCCTGCTCGATTACATACAAAAATACATATAATATATATTATATAATCCTCCAATGCCGCGTAGACCAAGTTAAATGTATGTTTTAATCTCTATTGTTTGAATATTTTTTCAATTTAATCCCCTTTTGAATTATACATTTTTCGAGTGAATACCAAAATTGGTTTACAATAAACTTACATCAGAGTAGTTAAAATTACGAAGAATGATCCGACCTARAAGAGTAAAGTTTACATTTTGCAAGTTGAGAGAAATTACGAGTTTTCCYCCTTTAAAGTGGCTTAACTGTCCCAATTCATTAAACATCACGTCAAGCTTATCATCAACCAAGACTAATATTCAATATTCATCTACGAAAATGGTATAATTGAAATTTTCGTTCACTTTCATTTTCAAATCTCTTGAAAAGGTGTTAGCGTTTTAGAAAGATGGCAGGATGTTGAGCCTTGACTAACAAAGATAATTTAAGTTGTAAAACAAATCTTGCCTGTTTCTCCGGTGAGAGCCAATTGTGTGTCATGCAAGAAACGGGCATGGCCAAAATCAGCAACTCTCACATGAAAGGCATCGTCCAAGAAAATGTTGCTGGGCTTCAGATCACGATGAATCACTCTGGGCTTCTGTTCATGAAGATACTGCATCCCTTGAGATATTTCAAGTGCCTTCAACAACCTCTCTTCATATGGAGGCAGCGGAATTGCCCTCTCCTTCTGCCTCTTTCCCGGCCCGTGCAGCCACTCCTGCAACGTCATCCTTAAAAACTCCGTCACCACCCACCCGCAACCCGGCGGCTGCAGGCATGCGCCCATCAGTTGCAGCACGAACCGGTGGCGCTGTCGACACAGCGTCTCTAGCTCCTGTGCAAAGTAGGATACTCCGCACTCGTTTGAGCAGAAGAAGTCTTGGTTTATGCATTTCACTGCAACGTCGAGACCGCGCCATGTTGCTTTGTATATTTTTGCTGTGGTTCCTTGCCCTATCTTCTCCCTCAATTCAATCTGTGCCATTTCAAGTAATAAATTTTGAGTTAAATTACAGGTTTAGTGTGTGAACTTCAATAATGTGCTACTAGTCTTGAGTGTAATTCTATATGATCGTTCTGCCCATTAGTATAATATTAGTTAATTTGGCMCAACGTTATCGACATAGACATAATTCTAAGTTCAAAAGACTACTTTACGCGAATTTTATCAAAGGTCGATAAACTATTCTTATAMGAACTAAAAAGGCTATGATAAGTTAGAGAGAGACCTCGTGTGGCTCGATGTACCAACCATGGAGCTTTGCCTGCTCGATGAGTGGCTGTAGGTCTGCTAGCGGACGGCTTGAGGAGGGCATTGTGGGGCTGGAACCGGCACTTTGARTGCAATTTGGGCTGCCATCGCCATYGACATCGACGTTATCTCTGTCTCCAATTATGAGGTGCAAGAATCCACGGTCCTGTGCTTTCTGAAGAAAGCACTTGAGAGAATCTTGTGCTCTATCCATCCTCTTCCTAAAAATAAGCTGGATTTCTTTCTGCTTCAGCAGCTCCCTCTCCAATTCTGCCACCTTCAAAGCCACACACAACAAAAGAAAGGTCATTGGGCTCATCTCATTCCCAGCCCTTTATCTGGGTATTGGGCTGCCTACAACCCAAAATGGGATCTGGGTCAATCTTTATGGCTATAAGTGSTTTTAGGACCAAAAAAACAAGGCATTTTTCCCACAAAATTTTCATGTCCAAAAGTAAACTAAAGTACTACGAAGAAAAACCAAAAACACCCTAAAGAGAGTGCTAATACTGGTAGAATGTTTTTGGCTAAGAAGTACTTCAAAAGCACTTTTAACTTTTTAGAGTACGGAACAACATAAAAATGATTTGCTACTGCTTGCTGGAAGCACTTTCAAAGACATCTATGTTCTTCAATTGTTTTCAATTATCTTGAGCCTTTGTTATTGATTAAGAGAACATGACTATCAAACTGGTGAATTTCTTGCAAACATGGAGCTAGCAAATAGAAGTATAAGCTAATATCAGCTGCTGAAGAAGGTAGGCACCTTCAATTCCAACATCGTGGTGGAGTGTTGTCGTCTAGAAGCAACGGATCCCATCCCTACACAGTTACACAAGCTTGGAGAATATCTRCGAGACTGAGAGGCTCTTCTAACTTGTAAATTCACCTCTGACGAGTCCTTAGACACCCATGGGTTCTGTCTTCTCCCCCGGTTGTTCTCATTGTTCATTGTGGGGTTCAAAGAACCGAGAGGAACCTATAGAACTCTCTCAACTGCCTTAYATAGTGCTGTAATTTTTGCCTTCTAGTGATTATACATGTCACATTGGGCGGATTTCCTGATGATAATGCCGTCAATTTCATAGCACGGTTAAAGAAGAAAGATGAAACCAAGTCCCTTTCCAACACAGGCCTGCACAAGGAAGCAGAGGCGTTGATGCCAATGATGCCCATGAAGTTAACGATTGGATGGGGAATTTAATCAAACACTTACCATTCGTTGTTAAATAACATATTTAATTCTTGGATGTGGCATTTCATCAAACATGTGACGTTCGTTTCTTAAAAACTTGACACTAGACATGGGGTATTTTATCAAACACTTAACATTCATTTTCTCATAAAGAGACKGAAATTACTTTGGAGAAGATCAAGGAAATGGGTCTTTAGAAACAAAAAGACATGAAACAAATTGGAGCTTTAARTCACCGAAGATTGCTTACCATGTCATCGTTCGCATCTACCACTCACTTTGTGGAAGAAAAAGGAAAAGTTGGTGATGAAGATGATCGAATCAAATTGAAAACTGGCCTCGGGATCGCCAATCTTAGATTCTTGTTTCTAACTCGCAAGGCAAAAGCCAAATTTGGGACTGGACCACTCTTCTCTTTAGTCTTTTTTTTCAAACCCTCTCTTAAAACTCTTTGAAAATCCCTCCTTTTGCCTTTTTCGCTTTTTTGCTTTTCTTTTTAGATTTGAATATAATGAATATATTATAATTTTCATTGTTTGACAGTTTTTTTTTTTTTTTTTACCAAATTGGCATAGAGAATAGATGGCAAGGAATTATAAGAAAATGTACTAAAAACAAAAAGGGATTATAAGAAAAACATGTGTATGTATATTAAATTATTATTATTTTTTCATTATGGTATTTTATCTTTTAACTAAAGTTTATCAAATTTCGTTCTCAGATTAACAAGATTCAATTTAATTAATCATCTAAATAAATATTTAAAGTGAATTTCTACGTTGTGATCTTTTGTTTTAACAACTCAAGACAATACAATAACCTTAGACCTTAGTTTAAAAAAAAATCTATGGACTTTAAGAAATTATTTTAGTTATACAGAAGAAAAATAAACCGAACTAATATTATTTTTTAGTTCTAAAAATAATACTTTATAAGATTTATGTGACTCATTTTCAAGTAATAACTACGAATAATTTTTTTGACAAACCAAACATAGCTCAAGTGGTTAAGATATTTATCTCTGACCAAGAGGTCATGAGTTCAAACCCCCATCCCGTTATATAAAAGAAAAAAAACTAACAACTTAATTGGTTAGAGTATAGAAGTCAAAAAAATGTAAATTTAAATATAAAAATTTAAAAGGAGGGGCAAGGTTTGGTTGATAAAATATTGAAAAGGGGTTGGCAAATCAATCATGATCTGAAGGAATCTGATGATTTTGATTGAAGATTTGTTGAAAAGATTATTAGTTCATGCTCATGCCCTATTAAAACCACCAACAGTTTTTGTCCCAAACAAAACTTCTTAGCAATCATTGAAACTCCCTCAAATCAATTTTCTAACTTTCATATGATAAATTTGTTTTTGCTTTTGTCTCTAAAATAATTTTTAAACTTTGTAATAAAATAATTTTAATATAAATACATGAAAACGAATTTTGAAACAATTTCAACGGGTTGAACCACAGTCAGGTCAATTATAATATAATTTTTTTAATTCAGTTAACTTAACCCATGATTTATATAAGTATGAATTAATAGGGGTGGTGGTTTGTTGTGATTTTAATTAAAAAAAATTGAAGCCAATCATTGAAATTTGAATTTTTATAATATCCTACACGTTTGTGAAATTAGTAAAATTTGGTAGGTATATGACTTGAAGAAGCTTGGAATCCACCGCCTCCTACATGGAATAGACCTTTTTTTTTATTTTCTTTTTCTTTTCTACTCTGTTTTTGGTTAGATGGTCCCAAAAAAAAAAATTATTCTACATTTTAAAAGTATTTTTTGGTTGATATTAAGTGAATATTTGTAGGAATGTGAAAAAAATTTTGATAAAATTGGATGGATGGCTATAAAAAAGATTCTTTCCATTGCTTACAAATGGGCAATGAATTGAAAATGACCAACTTCATAGTTTTATTCTAACAATATTTAGGTGGTAAGCATCCAATACTTATCACTTTTATATTTTTGGCACATAAGAGGGAGGCATTTTTTTCTTCTATTTTTAGAAAATATGAAAAAACCAATATATTTTTTTTTTTTATTTTATGTCTACTGGGTTAAGAGATATTTTCCTGAAAATATTAATGCATGTATTTATTATAATTACAAATTTTAATTTGATTAAAAATAAGGTTAAATTTTGGGTTCCTAGACTTTGATCTATTATATCTCCTATTTTCCCTGTAAACACCTTTTTATTTTAGTGCTATAGATTTCAGTAAATTTTACGCCCTATTCTTGCTCCAAAATTATATTTTAAAGTTATATTTAAAAAGGGATGTAATATTATTTATTATTACATGTCGTATTTTAGATTACCAAATGAAATTATATATTTAACAAAATTGGAAGGTCATTATTAAAAGTTTGAACCCAACAATGTATCTTACCCATTTCTTCAAAATCAAAGTTTAAATCGCCACCCACATTTATTGTACTAAACAAAATTTGAAAGCAATGTCAACCTAGATATGACTTAACTATACGATACATTAATAACTCTTTTATAAAAAACAAGATCTAAATCTCCAATCTCACCATTGTATTATTACAATATTCAAAAGCACATTGTCAACGAGAATATGTGAAATCGATTACACTTCAACTAATTACGATACCAACATCAATCTACTTAACTAGTCAACATATATATACTAAATCAAAATATTAGAGGTTCGGATTTCGTGGGTAGATATAATTGAACTTAGAAAAGAAAAAAAAGGTTAATTAAGATATATATTATTTGAAAGGAAAAAGAAAATTAATGAGAGGGTAATATTGGTGTCTTTTA